CCAGTAAAATATGATAAAAATAAGAAAATTTTCGGGTCCGCACAAAAACAGCATTTTTAATCATAACATTGATGAGACGATTTATATCGTGCCGTCAGAAAATTTTGTATCGAAAGATCCAAAAAATATAATTTGTAAATTTTAAAAATTCATCTATGGATTCAAATAAGCATCTCGACAATGGTATTTTAAATTTCATCAAATGATCATTTCATTTGGTTCTAAGATGAATTTAGTAGATGATTGTATATACCATAAGTTTTGTAGGAGCAACTATATTTTCCTGATATTGTATATAAATGACATTTTACTTGGCAACAACGATATAGGATTGTTGCATGAAATCAAGAGATTTTTAATTAAAAATTTTGGGATGAAAAATCTTGATGATACATCTTTTGTGTTAGACATGCAGATACACTGGAATCGCTCTTGGGATATTTTTAGCCTATCACAAAAGACTATATCGAAAATATTCTTAAAACATATGACATACAAAATTATAAATCATGTAACTCCCCTATGACTAAAGGAGATAAGTTTAGTCTCGATAAGTATTCTAAAAATACTTTTAAGAAAAAAAATATAAAATATTACTTATGCGTCAATAGTAGAGAATCTAATATATGTTCAGATCTGTACGCGTCCGAATATTGTGGACATTACAAGGATGTTGGGTAGCTATTTAAGCAATTCTAAATTAGATTATTGAAAGGCAACCAAACGGGTTTTACAATATTTATAGAAAATAAAAGATTACATGCTCACGTATCGGAGGTCAGATAAGTTCGAGATCATTGGGTATACTGATTCTGATTATATTAGATGTCAAGATAGTATGAAATCAATATCAAGTTATATCTACTTGTTGGCTGGAGGTGTTAAATTCTGAAAGAATGCAAAACAGTCTCTTATAATTTCTTCCACTATGACTACAGAATTTATACCTTATTATGAGACATTCAATCACGAGATTTGGCTACGAAATTTTACCATATGATTACGTATAGTGGATAGTATTGAATGACCACTCAAATTATTTTGTGACAATAAGTCAGTAATTCTATATTCCAATAATAACAGAAATTCGACAAAATCTAAACATATAGATATCAAATTTTTGACTGTTAAAGAAAGAGTACACAGTGGACAATTGTCAATAGAACATATCAGAACAAATTCTATGGTTGCGGATCCACTTATTAAGGGATTGCTACTTAAATTGTTTCATGAGCATACTGCTCATATGGGTGTCATGTTATTAAATGATATTCAGTTGTAGTGTGAGTTTGTTATTTTAAATACTCTTATAATATTATATTTTTGGTTATTAAGATTTAAGAATTTTTTTTGTACAAATAAAGTTTGGATTTATTATACTCTGATTTTGGTATGGTTTGATCTCACGAAATTTAAGGTGGACCAATTGAAAATAGGCATATTATTATCACATTACATGAAATTTTCATATTACACGTTCACATCATGATTCATGTCATTCAATTATATCAATATATGTGACCATTAATGGGTCAAGTTATAAACTTGTAACAAAAATCGCTTTGATTCTATGTTAGTGTAATTGATGTACCGAATTGTTTGTAGATACATTTTGATTAAAACAATGAAGTTGAACTCATATGGTTAATTACAAAATATAATTATAAGGTTACAAATATAGTCCAAGTGGGAGATTATTGGATCCTTAATCCAGCGTTGGATTTATATATAAATAATTATGTGTTGCAGACTGTTAAATAAGGTTAAATTTAATTAAAGTGATCAAATATAGTTTAGATTTTAATGTATCTAATAGGATGTGGGTCTTTAATTTATAGAGATTTAAGAATAATTTCCATTTCTATGATGGGTTGAAATAGGAATAAAAAAGAGAGTAGGAAAGTTTTATATAAATAGGGTTATGATTCCCAAGTTACATGTATTCTTATTGTTGTATTTTAGTGCCACAAAATAATTTTTTTCCTGATATTCCATCATCAGAAAATATACCTGAGAGAAACTAAAAGCATCTCTCAAGGGAATAGCAAATACGTGTTGATTTGGAAGACCATTTCAAAATCTCTAAGGATTCAAGTACCAGTTAGTCAATATAAATCCAAGTACGCTTCCACAATTTTGCTGTTAATTTATTTCTTAATAATTACCATAAAAATTTTGGATTTAATAGATGATAGTTTTTACCAAAATTTAATATAAATAATCACCTAATAGGTAAACTTAGCATTTAATGGCAATAGTTTAACAAGGTTAATTCCAACTACAATCAAATGGTTCTTGAAGCTTTAGAGGATGGATCTAAGCGACAATCAAATGCAAGGTGCTATTCCAAGTGATTTTTGTTATTTGTTGAACTTAGGCTATTTAGATCTAGGACAAAATAAGCTCTCTGGTATGGTGGCTTCTTGTTTAGGAAAGGGTTAAAAATAAAAAAACTCCATGTAGTATACCTAATACACAAAAAAATTCCTCATAATTTTAAAATATACAAAACAACACCTCATGTTTTGAACTAAATTATAAACTAACAGAATTTGTTAAACTTAACGAAATCTGGTAATCTTAACAGAAAATTTAACGGAATTCGATAAAATTAACGGTAAACTTAATGGAATCCGATAAGTTTAACAGCTGAGACCGTTATTTTCATTAAATTTAACGAATTTTATTAGTTTACAATTTAGTTCAAAACATGAGATGTCGTTTTGTATGTTTCGAAACTACAGGAGGCTTTTCTATATATTAAGTATAACACAGGGGATTTTTTTGTTTTTAACTCTTTAAGAAATGTTGCTACACTCAGAAATATTTATCTTAATTCCAAAAAATTAAGTTCTACCACACAACAAGCCTTTGGAGCCTAAGAGATATTTTGGAGCTGGATATGTCAGTAAATTATTTGACTGGCTTTTTACCAATGTTTTTAAACTCGAACCTGCCAGCGAATCGGAGGGAGAGAGGTTCACGGTCTGACCGCCCGGTTCAACGATTCAACTTTTTTTTTTTTTTACTTCACAGTTCACAGTTTTTCATTCTACAGTCTACACTGAAACTTAACAGCTGATGTACAATCTAACATGATTATTAATAACTTAAGTCCCTAAAATACATTCACCAATATAACTTAAAATTAAATTTAAGTTGAGATAATAATAAATTTTCTAAAAGTTATACATGAAACTTGGCATGATAAATATAACTAAAATATCATAATTTATCACAGGTTTTCATAAATTCATTATAAACATAAATAGATATAGTCCAAATGTTCATCAATTATCATAAACAAAAACACAAAAATAAATAAACTAAATGTTGACATTTTTTTACAATTCTCAAAAAGTCCATCACAGAGTTCAACTCATATTCAAGGCAAACAATTTGAATAACAAACTTCCATCATTGGCATGACAAGGCAACAGCACCTCCTTTACAATTTCATCAATTTAACCTGAAAAATTAAAAAATTTATTACAAAAAATATAAATCTAATTGGTGAAACTAAAAAAAAGTCAAAAAATTTCTAAAAACAAAGACACAACCAAACACAAAAAGAATCAATTGATACTAAACATCACTAATTAACATGTTATATTATCAATAATTATCTTCATCATCATCCAAAAGGCGCCTACGCTGAAATGCTTCCAAATCAATAGCATTATCTTCCCCAACTTCACTTTCATCATCTAAATAAATAAACAATTAAGAATTTATCCATATTTATAATAAAATTTCAATTAAAAAATGCACTTTTAGCACCTCATATTACAAGTTAAAAATATATTTATTTTAATATTAAAACCAACCTTCAACTAGTTGAGAATCATCTTTAGGAAGTTCTTTGAGTTCTTCCTCCAATTCATCACAATTAAACTCGCCATCTTGTTCTTCTTTTATGACCCAAAATTCCATTTTATGAATAGATTCATAATCAATGGGATCATAAGATCTCTTTCGGTGATCAAACCTACAATAAAATACATTAGTTACAAATCTAATATTACTTTATAAATAAAATGTAAAGAATAAAGTAAAAAATCAATTATACCTATGTTGCAAACGCAAATTGTAGTGCACATAAACAAGATCAGTAAGTCTTTGGTGCTCCAACCGATTCCTTTTTTTAGTGTGAATGCGTTCAAAAACGCTCCAATTACGTTCACACTCAAAAGAAGAAGCTGTTTGACTCAAAATTCTAATTGCAATCTATTGCAAATTCGGAGCATCACAACCATATAACTTTCACCAATTTTCTGTCACAATCATATTAAAATATTAGATCAAATAAAGAATAAATTCACAAGTTTTAAATATCAAAAAAATATAAATAACCTGGCCAACCAAATTTGCTAGTAAGAATAGCAAGTTTGCATCCAAAACTCCCTTGTCTTTCCCGATACATTCCAACCTCTTGCGATAATTTTTCAGGGTTGCACCAATCCACTTTTGTTTCAATGTAATCAAACAAGCCATTTATAACCTTTGGATGTGTACAAAATGTGGCAGTCTCATATTGAAAAGCAGGATTCAAATAATAAGCGACAGCATGTAGATTTTTTCTCAACATTCTATCCCACCTATCATTGATGATGTCAATATAAGACTTGTACAATCTCTCTTTATTTCTAAACAGCCTTTTGATGCCATTTATTGCTCTAAACATGCCTTCATAAACATAACCCGTTGAAGGCCTTTCATCAGTGTCACAAATACGCAATAAACGAATGATAGGGCCCATTATTCGCATCATGATCAAACAGTTATTCCAAAACCTTTCATCCAAAACGATTTGCTTCACATCTTTTTCTTTTTCTATTCTCAGAAATTTTTTGTAATCCCCACAAGTAACCAAAGATTGCAAACTATCCTTATGATCATGCAAACTTTTTAACGCAATAAAGGTAGTTGCAAATCGAGTTTCACCTAGACGAATAATTTCTTTCCACCCTATAGTTTTTCTTAACCAATTCAAAGTGAACTTATGATTGTAGATAAAAAACAGTCACCGTTGAAGCAAGAGACACTATAGCTTTTACATCATTCATTTCACCAATGTCTTTCAAAATCAAATTGATGCAGTGTGCAGCACACGGTGACCAACAAATGTTCGGATATCTTTCACTTAACAAAGACCCAGCAGCTTTATAATTGCTAGCATTATCAGTAACTAAGTGCACCACATTATTTGAGCCAACCATCTCAACAATTTCAGCAAATAAATTGCACAAATTTTCTGCACTTGTTACAATATCAGATGCATCCACAGATTTAATCAACGAAATACCCTTAGGACAATAAATCAAAAAATTAATCAATAGTCTTTGTCTAGTGTCTTTCCATCCATCACCCATTATAGTGCAACCAGTTTCTGCCCAAGTACTTCTAAAAGAATCAACAACTAATTTCACATCTCTCTTGGCATTTCGCAACAAGTTAACTCTCAAAGAATAATAGGAGGGACATTTGTAACCATTACCCATTGATGCTATTTGATCAATAACTTTTTGAAAAAATGGAGAATTAACAGCATTTATAGGAATGCAAGCATCATAAAACCAAAAAGCAATAGCTACGTCCGTATTTGTCCATTTTTCCTTACTTTGCAAACAAGTTTTAATGGTTGGTTGAGAAGTATCACATCCACCTTTAAAAAGAGCACGTATACCTGTTGATGCAGTGACCTTTCTCTTTCCTTTACTAGATGAACCCATCTCATTTGCTAAAGAAGAAGGAATTTCCAATACTTCATCGCCATCAAATGCATGAGTAGTGTGGCCGAATGGATTTTCCACCCCAAAATCACCTTTTTTTTCTTTAGATTTCTTCTCCTTCTCCTTCATAGATGCTAAAATAGCATGTCTAACTGCCGGGTCAACCTTTGAACATGGAATAATGCTGCCTTGTTCTCCTGCCAAATGTTGTTTCATTCGATGAATGCCACCACCAGCAATTACTTTAAAACAATACCCACATGTCAAAGTGCTTCTTCCTTGACTATTCATACCTACTAAACAATAATTTCATGCTATATCAAACTTTTGTCTATGATTTTGACTAGCTGATTGTTCACTATTGACAGCTCCAATAGTCGAAGATTATGAATTACTACTAGTACCAGTATCGGTTTCCATTATCCTTGACATAGTTAATTTGGACATAATTAGTTCATTTGTAAAATATAGTGTACTAATAAGAAAATAAAATTAACAAATTTTCCGTAATATAAGAAGATCAATTAGTCACTTTTGCACCACTAATGTAAACAATATAACACTTCTTACTTTTAGAGTATTAATAATCAACGGTAATTAAATAAGCTAAAGCTGCCAAACTTTATACAATATAGTACCAAATAAATCTCCTAAACTTTGAATGAAAGAGATATAATTTCTTATGATCCTAGTTGCTTTTAACAAATAAAAAGCAATTAAAATTATTTGAACAAACAATAAATAAAGGAAACAGAAAAGTTAGCAAAGACGTAAATTGCTCAAACAAGTTACCATAGGCAATTTTTCTTGGGTTTGACAATTAAAATGATTTCTACTAATTCATTAAAGAACATTGATTTGAAGAAAATGACTCCTAAAAGTAGTGGATTTTTCTATATTCAACTGAAGAAGGAAATCAACTGTAAAATAGGCTATCATTTATAACTCATAAACAAGTACAACTTTTACAAAAATCGAGTTGTTTCTTCTTGAATAACATGTATCTAGATATGTGGCAATGGGTAAAAAATGTCATGATTATTTCCAAGTCTTACACATCTCTGTATATTCAACTCTACGTTTCTCTGTGTGTCAAAGACTGAAGTTGGCACAAGTGAAAAAGATCAAAGGATTTCGGTTTCTCTATATTAAAGAGTATAATATTTCAATGACATCAACAAATACCAAGAGCCCTTGTTAATTGCAAGCTTCCACAACAGTTCAGGTTTCCAAAATCAAAAGTTCAAAGCCTGAAGAAATCAAAAAAAACTTTTGTATAGTATCACCTTAATCATGGAAGCATCTCAGTAGTTTGTTAATGAAGATTAAGTACTAGGGAATGGAAGAAGAAACAATCGGCATCACAGAAATAATCCAACATACTTGTTCTATGAAAAACAATAAAAGACAAAAATTAAACTTACCAAGATGGAAAAGCTCTAGAGTCTCGTCTACAGATAATAGTGTGATGATCTTGTCGTGGATATTTGGATGTGAAGGATTATGAAGAAAAAATTTTTAAAAAAAAATCAAGATGCGAACTGGAGAAGCTGAAAGAGAGAAACGGAGGAAGTGAAATTGAAATGAAATGTGTCGTCTGCACTTTCTTAATGCTAGGGTTTTTTTATTTAATCTGATTTTATTTTTTAGTTCAGTACAATTCTACACAACAATAGCTCGTCCTTTGGCTGTGGTTTAGCGGCAAGCATACCTTATTATGGTCTCTAAGACCCGAGTTCGAATCTAGCAGCCTCCATTCTTGCTATTATTTTGAATTTGAGGTTATATTGCTTGAAAATTTAAGAACCGCCGGTTCCCGGTTTTAACAGTTCGTCTGGTTCGCCCGATTTTCCATTACCTTCCGGGTCTGATACTGGACCGGACCTGCGACATGACCGGTTCGCGGTCGGACCGATCGAACCGGCCAATCCGGTCCGATCCAATTCTGAAAACATTGCTTTTTATCTGCCGAAATTGGAAACTTGAACGCATTAATCAGTTCTACATAGCTATACTCTACATATACTCTAACCATGAGGTTTAGTTACTTAGGAGTGTAAGCAAAATTTGGTCTAGTCAAAATAGAAACATAAAATTGTACTGCAATGGAATTATTGCACTTCTTAATATCTCTTTTTGAATCCCGAAAAGAAATGCAAACTTCAGCTCGTATGTGTTTCAGTGCCACTCTTTGGTGGCGAGTGTTACCAGCGATTCCTATCCAGCTGCAAACGGAGGTAGAAGTGGACCAGTTGGTTGGGATGATCCTTTGGGGATCTAATATGGTTGTCTTCAGAGCAACAAAAGTATCCAGTGTAAGATTTTCAAGATTCCAATATCAGATATTTGAATATAACTATAATATAAAAGCGGAAGTATATCTGGATTCATATCGACAAACTGATATATGAATTTCCAAAGATATTGGGGTGGCCTTCCAAATCAACACGTATTCGTCAATCCTTGAGAGAGCCCTTTAATTTCTCTCTACTATCTTTTCCGACGATGGGATATCAGGGAAGAGATATATTTTGTGGTACTAGAAAATACTACAAATAGAATGATACATGTGACCTAGGGACCATAACCCTATTTATAGGTAATATTCCTGTTACCTTTTGGAACCCTATTTCAACCCATCATAGAAATAGGAGCCCTTAAATCTCTACACATTAAAGATCCACATCCTATTAGATACATTAATTTCAAACTATATTTGATCACTTTAATTAGATTTAACCTTATTTGACAGTTTGCAACCCATAATTATTCACATATAAGTCCAACGTTGAATTAAAGATCCAATAATTTTCCACTTGGACTAATGTGTAACCTTATAATTATGTTTCGCAATTAACCGTATTAGCTCAACTTTACAGTCATTATTAAAATGTATCTGTAACCGATTCGGTCCATCAATCACATCAATATAGTATCAAAGCGGCCTTTGTTACAATTTCGTAACTCGACCCATCATTAGTCACATATATCGATACAATTAAATGACATGAATCATGGTGTGGATATATAGCATGAAAATTTCATGTAATATAATCAAAACATGTCTATTTCCAACTGATTCATCTTAAATTTTTATGAGATTAAACCATACCAAAGTCAGAGTGTAAATAAATCCAAACTTTATTATGCATAAAATATCCTTAAATCATTAATAATCAAAAAATATCATAAGAGCATTTAAAATATCAAACTCCCACTAAAACTGTACATAATTTAACAACATGACACCCATACGAGCAGTATGCTCATGAAATATTTTCGGTGACAATCCGTTAGTAAGCGGATCCGCAACTATGGAGTTTGTCCCGATATGCTCTATTAATAACTGTCCACTCTGTACTCTTTTTTTAACAGCCAGGAACTTGATATCTATATATTTAGATTTCGTCGAACTCCTGTTATTATTGGAATATAGGACTGCTGACTTATTGTTACAAAATGATTTGAGTGGTCTTTCAATACTATCCACTACACGTAATCCTGTGACGAAATTTTGCAGCCAAATTCCTTGATTGGATGCCTCATAACAAGTTATAAACTCTGCAACCATAGTAGAAGATGTTATGAGGGACTGTTTAGCACTCTTCCAGGATATGGCACCTCCAGCCAATAAGTAGATATAGCCTGACGTTGACTTCATAGTATCTTGGCATTCAACATAATCGGAATCAGTATACCCAATGATCTCTAACTCATCTGACTTCCGATACGTGAGCATGTAATCTTTTATTTTCTGTAGATACCGTAAGACCCGTTTGATTGCTTTCCAATGATCTAATCCATGATTACTCAAATATTTACCCAACATTCCAGTAATGTATGCAATATTCGAACGCGTACATACTAGAGCATACATTAGACTCCCTACTGCTGATGCATAAGTAATCTTTTACATCTCTTTTTCCTCAAAAGCATTCTTAGGGCAATGCTCAAGACTAAATTTGTCTTCTTTAACTACAGGAGTGTAACTTGTTTTATAATTTTGCATGCCATACCTTTTAAGAACCTTTTCGATATAGTCCTTTTGTAATAGTTCTAAAATACCCCGAGATCGATCCCGATGTATTTGTATGCTTAACACAAAAAAAACATCACCAAGATCTTTCATCTCAAAATTTTTTGTTAGAAATTTCTTGGTTCCATGCAATATACCAATATCGTTGTTGGCAAGCAAAATGATTGAATGCTTTAAATTGGGTTTTTTTCCTGTCTAAAACTCATAAGGGATTTTGATAGTTGTTTTAGTTGGAATTCTATTAAGAATATATGCTACAGTCTTAAATGCTTCTCCCCAGAGTGACTCTGGTAAGATAGAATGACATATCATACTCCTTACCATATCTTTAAGCGTTCTATTTCGTCTTTCAACTACACCATTTATAGTAAGTAAATCCGGCATAGTGTATTGTGGGAGAATACTGCATTTCTCTAGGTATTTAGCAAATAGTCCTAGACGTTGTTCACCTGAATCATCATATCTACCATAGTACTCACCACCACGGTCAGATTTGACGCTTTTAATTCTTTTATTGAGTTGATTCTCAACTTCATCTTTAAAAATTTTGAACACGTCCAGTAACTGTGACTTTTCAGAAATGAGATATATGTAACCATATCTTGAAAAATCGTTTATGAATGTTATAAAATATTGTTGATCATTCCAAGCAGATGTAGAAAATGGCCCACAAACATCCGTATGTATAAGTTCTAAGACGTCTAAAGACCTATTGGTTTCAAATCTCCTTTTATTGGTTTGTTTCCTTTTTATACAGTTAATACAATCATCAAAATCTGTAAAATTCAAGGGGTCGAGAATTTCATTTGACACAAGTCTTTCCATTCTCCGTTTGGAGATATATCCCAATCTCTTGTGCCATAATGCGGCTGAATTCTCATTGGTTAATTTTCTCTTTACTCATCTAGTACTCAAATGTAGAGATTCATTAAATGAGATAATTGTATCAATTAAATATAGATTATCATAGTGCATTAAAGAATCAGAACCAACCAATTTTGAATCATGAAATAATTCAAATTTTTCATTTTCAAATGAACAAGAATAATCAAATTTGTCCAAAGCAGAAATAGAAATTAAATTCCATCTAAAAGACGGTACAACAAATGTTTCATTGAAATCCAAATAAAATCCGATCTTTAACAATAATCTAAAAACTCCAATTGCCTCAATTTGAATTGTTTTGCCATCGCCCATGTAGATATATCTTTCATTATCATTAGGCTTTCGGCAATTCAGGCAACCCTACATAGAC